CCCAGCATGGTTATCTCATTTGCTGTGTACACTGTAATTTTTTTTGTGTATAATAATAAAATCAATAATTATGTGGACCCAAATTTTAATTCAGCTACTGTCAGCCTAATGCCGTATAGTTATCCAGAGTTCATCTCCTGGAATTTTCAGCCAATATTTGGCTCTCATCAGTCTATTACAGAAGATGCCCCCACATGAACATCTTAAATCTATCTACCTTCTAATTTGCCCAGGTAGAAATCTGTGTATTGGATCTCCAATGTTCTATCTTCCAGTGACCTGTCATCGATCTTCCCACTGCATGCTTGACAATTTTGAAGCTTCTTCCTTCCTGTGAATTTACACAGCTCTTCCTGATACATACCTGTTGATCTTCCCAGCACTTCCCCTCAACCATCCCAGATTGTTGTCTCAACTGGATACTATATTAGCTGATCATTTAAAAAAAGTAAAAAGTCCATATCTTCTTTGTGCTTTGGGACCTCTCATTTAGGGTTTAAGGACAAGCAAGTAGAAATGGGCAGGAGAAGCTCTGATTGCTTCATGTCCCAACTGGGTGGCAAATTTTGGCAAATGTTAAGCCTTAATTGTTTTTGCAGGATAGGTTTTGCAGGTAAATCAGCTCATGGAGCTCTCAAAAATTAATACTGTTGGGGGAAGCTTTCAACTTATATGAACTTAAATTTAAGGAAAGATAGCAGATAGATCAACCAAGACTAATAATTTTTATTTATTTATTTATTTATTTTGATTTGTCAATTGCTTACAAGGTAATAGGTATAAGTATAAACATAGTTATAAATACATGGATACATATAAGAAAAATAAAAGAAACAATAGGACCGGGACGGTAGGCACGTTGGTGCGCTTATGCATGGCCCCTACAGACCTCTTAGGAAAGGGTGAGGTCAATTAATTTTTTAATTAATTGAGTTGTCAATTAATATATTGAAATGGTGGAAGTCTCCCACTTTTTAGGAACAACCATCAACACTAAAGGAACCAGCAGTCAAGAAATACCCCTCAGACTAGAACTAAGTAGAGCAGCCACCAAGGTCTTGAAAAAGCTATTCAGACACCTTGATGTATCTGCACCTATAAAGATCAGAATTGTGAAGTCAGTGATTTCCCTTTGGTTTTCAGAAAGAGCATTGATGCTTTTAAACATTTGTATTGGAGAAGACTCCAGAGAATGACATGGTTCGCCAAGAAAACAAACCAAAAAGGAATTATCAGACAAATCAATCCAGAGTTTTCATTTGAGGCACAAATGACTACACTCAAATTATCATATTTTGGACATACAATATGAAGGCCCGGCTTTCTGGAAAAGGCTGTAATGCTATGAAGGGTGAACAGAAAGAGAAGGATGACCACCAGCAGGTAGATGGACTGAATTACATGCCTGTCCTAGTCCTTCATTAGCTAATAGCACGTAAGATTCTCAGGATACTACTAAACAAAGAGCCAAAGTTCTAGATCAGGGATCCTAAACTTAATTTTTTTAAAAAATGCATCTACATTTTTAACTCACATTTCCACTAAACAGTGCTCAAACAGTACATAAAAGAAACACCACATAGAAATCTAGTCAACAAAACAATAGATTAAAAAGGGTAAATGAAAAATATGGAGAAAATATAAATAAAATTGATGCAAATAAGCACCCTTTTTATAAGTTCATTTATGGAGCAAAAGCTTATTTAAAAATGTCTTTGTAATATTTCCTTATCTACACATTCAAGCAGAGCATAGATCAATGCAGACAGAATGCATTTCAGAGGCACATGGACATTTTCATGTGCATATGCACCATCTGTTATTTTTTTTACTGGAATGCTTCTCCCCAGCCCCTTCATCTTTGGAATCAACATGTCTCTCCGTTATATTTTTACTAACTGGGTTCCATCCATCTCCTCATTCTTTCTTCTGAATACCGTAGACATCAATCTTTTGAATAGGTAAACTATTCAGACACTGAGTGCTGGACATCATATTCACTTAAAGTTTTGGGATTGTGTTGGTACTTTATGGTGTCACAAAGATCCTAAGTTTTAACACAACGATTTCTGAGGGTGAACCTTAAATGAACTTAAATGAGGCTCTCATGAAGAAGTCATTTAAGTCAACAGTTGAAACTGCAGTAGATCAAATATTTGCTAATCAACTATGTGGAATAGCAGGGTTAAATTTTACAGTATTACCACATACATGACCGTCCAGAAGTTAAATCCTGTTGGACTCAGTTTGGCTTCTTAGACAAATATCTTCAGAACTGCAGATTTCATGTATTATTATTTATGCATATGAATATTTTTACACTTTCTCAATGGGATTTGAAAAAAAGCATTGCTTCTGTTTTCTATCAGCTGCACTGCTTCTCATCTCCTTCCTATGCTGTCTCTCTCCAGTAATCTGAAATTCATGACCATTATTACCATTTTAAAATCAAGTGATTAAAATCAGCAAACATTCTATGCATCCACATTCTGCCCCTGTCAAACTCTTATTTGTTTGATAGAAATGTGAAATCACCACTGTCAGTTCTTTAATAAACATCAAGGTACAGGTAGTCCTTGATTTATAACAGTTTGTTTAGTGAAGTTACAATGCCAGTGGAAAAAGGGACTTACATGTGATGGTCATGCAAAAAAGCAAAGGAATTTTGGCGATGGAGACAGACGTTGTTGGAAGAAATGGACAAAATTTAGAATTCAAACCAGAGCTATTCTTATTAGGAATTATAAAAGAGAGATATAGCAAAGGGTCAATATATTTAATATTACACATCATAACAGCAGCAAGAATGGTATAAACCCAACAATGGAAAAATGAAGACATTCCTTTAGAAAGAGAGATAATCTAGAAATATTGGTTTGCGCAGAAATAGGATAGGCTGACATTACAACTAAAAAATAAAAGAGAGACAGGAGTATCATATTTGGAATAGATTTTACCAATGGTTCGAACAGAGAGGTGGGAGTTGAAACAGAAAATAATTAGGATTTGCAGATTTGAAATTTGATGTTATATATGTAAATATAAATGAATAGAGTGGACAGAATAATTGTATAAAATTAGCAATGTATGATGTTTTATGCTGTAAGTATAAATGAATATACCGGATAGAATAATTGTATAAAATTTGGCAACGCGTGATGTGTATATATGTTATTTGTTTTATACTTTAATGTGTATGGTAGAGATAATGACAGGATGGTCACACTCTGTCCAATATTTTAATATGTAAGCAATATTTTTTTTTTTAAAGTGACTGATGACCATTTTTCATACTTGCAACATCCTTGTGGTCATGCAGTCAAAATTTGGATGCTTGGCAATATTTATATTATATTTATTATAAAAATATTTATATTTATTATAAAAATATTTATGACAGTTGCAGTGTCCTGGGGTCATATTACCCCCTTTTGCGACATTCTGACAAACACAGTCAGTGGGGAAGCCAGATTTACATAACAACCATGCTAGGAACTTAACAACTGCCGTGATTCACTTAACAAAGATGGCAAGAAAAGTCACAAACTGAGGCATACTCGCTTAACACATTTCTCACATAGCCACATACATTTTGGGCTCAATTGTGATCGTAAGTTGAGGACTACCTCTGTTAAAGTATCTACAATGTCATAATGTTGCATAAATGGATCCAAGCATAGCATTGGCCTTTTGTAATTGACAGATGGAAATTTTGTCAATGCCTAGATAGGAAATGACAACGTAAAGTGGTCTCCAAGATTTTTGGTATGGCACAGAGGGCGCTGATAATCACTGGGACCAGTTTATGCCATAATCTTTAAATTTTAATTTTCAGATCTTGATACTTAGTGATCTGGTGATAGTAGTTCTTTGCTAGTAGTTGCTAGTAGTTGCTAGTAGTTCTTTGATAGTAGTTCTATTTTGCTATCCCCTGGTATTGCCACATCCATTATCAACACTTTCTTCTTTTCAACCAATTATATCTGGCGTGTTATAAGCCTAGACTGTATTTGAAAAAAATCCCACAATATTTTAACTTGTCCCTTTTCAGCTATTTTTCAATTATACAAGTCCCACCAACTTTTCATTACTGGCACATAATTTTTACAGATACTCCAGGGAATCCTTTTGGCGACTGTGTTACGTCATTTTTCTACAATCCGTTTGCGCAAATCTTCTTGCTTCAACCAAATATATAAACTACCATTCCTGCTTCTTTGCACAATCTGCACTTTTAATCTTTTGATGATTTCTTCAGTTCTGGCCTCTTATGATGGTTGATGGCAGTCAGCCAATTGTTTATAGACTGGATGTGACCTTTTTATCCCACCCGTTGTGTCTTTTCCAAGGGTCTGGGATAGGCAGACGTCATTGTTTGACAGCGCTGAAGGTACCCTGGCAGGATGTGAGCTGTTCCAAGGAAAAGCTGCCTTTTTGCAATTCACTGATGGTGACTGTGCCTATTATCAGTAGTCATGGCATTGTAACCTTTGCATTATTATAGCTAGAGACAAGTTGCAAAGGGTCCAAAATAGGAAACAAAGTGTCCATTTGCCAGTTACTTCTGTTTAAAAACAAATGAAGCAAAATTAAATTAAAATAAAATAAAATATAAAATATAAAATATAAAATATAAAATATAAAATATAAAATATAAAATATAAAATATAAAATATAAAATATAAAATATAAAATATAAAATATAAAATATAATATAATATAATATAATATAATATAATATAATATAAAATAAAATAAAATAAAATATAAAATAATATAATATAATATAATATAATATAATATAATATAATATAATATAATATAAAATATTATAAAATAATATAATATAAAATAATAAAATATAATAAAATATAAAATAAAATAAAATAAAATAAAATAAAATAAAATAAAATAAGACTGAGGAAACGCCTGTCCAGCAGGCTCTAAGACCCGACAGACGAGGGGATTCTGGAGCATGCGTGGCAAACGATTTGTGCAGCTGGCGGCTGCCTTTCGAAGAGCCGCCACTCAGGGCTTGGCAAGGAGGTGGGAGTAAAGAAATAGTTTGCAAGTGAAGTTCTCGCCCTGCCCCAGCAGCCTTTTCCCCCCCCCCTGGCCGAGCTGGAAAGCGCTAAAAGCTTCGGAAAGCTTCGGATTTTAAACGGAAACTGCTTGTTGGGATTTGACTCCCGTTTACGGAGGAGGAGGAGGAGGACGAGGCGGTGTTTGCTCAGCCCGTGTGTGTGGCCAGCGTGGTAGGTTTCCTGGGCTTTTTCTTACATCCGCGTTGTCTACTCAGGAGTAGAAGCTCGGCTAACATGCTAGCTCCGATTGGCGCTGGAGAGGCGGTGCAATCGCCGGACCGTTGCTGGCAATTGGGAAGGGAAAAGGGAAAGCATGGGTTGTGAGAGCCCTTAAGTCGAGGCGTCCCTTTTGAGTTAGCAGCATCTGCGGACACGGAGCCGAAAGCCCAAATAGCCCAAGCGAGTAACCCCGTTGCCCCAGCCCTGCATTGCACCGCACGGGGTCGGTCACCTTTTCTTTACTCGCTTCCGACAAGTTAACCTCGGTTTGTTTTGGTTTTTTTTTAACCTTTGACAGTCCAGCAGACCCGGGAAGCGCACCCTCCTGCATCGTATTAAATCCGATAAGCAAGGCGTTGTGTTTCACCCCCAACCCCCCCCGTCCTCCCTTTCCTTAGTTAAGAAAAAGACCTCTCTTTTTTTTTGGCCTCCCTCCCTGAAATTGGCCCATAGCGTGAAGATGGAGAACGAACTAACTACTTTGTCCTTGATCGCGCCAACTTTTTTCACCGTCCTCTCTCTTTTAACACGCGCGCGCTTATCCAGGTCGTCCGGGAGTAATAAAAGGACCAACTTTTTCACCTTCCAAAGCAGGTGTAGTTATGCCCAGCAACGTTTGAGTGCAGAGGTGAAATAGGCACAGGGGAAACAAACAAACAAAAGCCACAGTTCTGAGTAAATTTTAAGCACCGGTCAAGGCTGCCATCCAGGCTTCTATGAACGCACGTGAGTTGGTCTCAAATTCCATCATGGTGCCGATGTTGTTGTTGTTGTTATTTTAATTATTTACCAGTGGGGAGAGGGACTGATCTTTGCTGTGTTTCCAAACTTTCCAGATCTATTTCTGGCCCCGTGGAGGAGGCTGAAGTAAGTAACAGAAGGTCTGGTTAGCTTGCTGAGAGATATTGTTTCTTTCCCACAAGGCAACCTTGGGTTGATCTCGCATCCCCTTGTTTGCTTTCTTTCAGCCTTCACCCATGAGGACATCCTTTCTCTTCTTTCACCTCTCCTCCCTTTATCTATCTATCTGTCTATCTATCTATCTATCTATCTATCTATCTATCTATCTATCTATTTTTCAGATTGTGAAAAATCTGAAAAATTGCGGGAAGTTAAAAAGAGGATGTAGCCAGTCTGAGAATGGGGCTTTCCACCAAGAGGAGATCATCACAATGGCCAGAGAAGATTCAGTGAAGTGTTTGCGGTGCTTGCTTTATGCCCTCAATCTGCTGTTCTGGGTAAGTTCTCACATCCTCTGATAAGAGAGGTGGGTGGAGGGGGGACCAGCCTTGCTTAGATATACCTTCCCCCAATAAACAACTCCAGATTTTGCACCGGACAGACATAGTTGACTATCCCTGGGGTTATTTCACTCTTTTTCTCCCAGAGTGTTTGAAGAAAGCAGAGTGTATTTGGAGCGTATAGTCAAACAATCAAACCAATTTAATCCAAATCACAAGTAAAGGCTGCAGGACCTCTAGCAAAAGTGAAATGACATTAAACTGTATATTTTGGTGTTACAAAAATAAGGGCAGCTCTTGAGTTTGTGCGGGAAGAATCATTTCCTCTTTATTCCTGGGTGGATGATCCTTCAATGTGATTGAATAATATTCTCAAGATTATCCATTACAGCAGAAGTGGTCCTGTACTGTGGAACAGGGGACATGAACCTTTTGGACTTCAGGGACCACCAAACTCATAATTTTAAATCCCAGGGACCACTACCCAGTTCTGTGGGTGTGGCCTAATTTGTGGGCATGGCTTGGTGGTCATGTGATTGGCTGGGCATGGCTTGTATGTAAATTTTGTGTGTGTGTGTATGTGTGTTTTCTTAAGTTTTCGTGGGTACTTACATGTATGGTATTCAGCTTTGTTTGGGTATTTTCCCACGTCATTGTAGTTGTGCTTTTAAAAGCACAACTATAATGACGTGGGAAAATACCCGAACAAAGCTGAATACCATATATATAAATACCCGCGAAAACTTAAGAAAACAAATATATATACATACACACACACACACACATACATACATACATACATGTATGTATAAAATATTGATTTTTTTTCTAAAAAAAGAGCAATTTTTACCCAAAATCAGGCAAAGAAGGGAGGCAGATTGAGTTGCTCAAAGAATCGCAGAATCATTCGGAGATCTATCTATCTGCCATTGGCTAGCTCAGTCTGTCACATAAAATTTGCTTGCAAGCAAACTCATAAAATTACCTCACAACACACCATGTAAGTAAATATTGAATTTTTTATTTTTAAAAAGAGCAACTTTCACCCAAAATCAGGCAAAGCAGGCAGACAGATTGAGTCGCTCACAGAATCATTCAGTGATCTATCTATCTGCCATTGGCTAGCTCGGTCTCACAAATTTGCTTGCCATGAGTCTGCACTGAATAATAGAAGCTTCAGCCCTAAGGGAGGTTTGGCTGTGCTTAAAAACAGAGCCGAAGATCTAAAGACTAGCTAGAAAGCAAGAAATCCAACCATTTCCTGCTTCCTAGCTAATCTAAATCTCTCTGCACAGCAGAACAGATGATGGTTGGAAAAAGGAAAAAATAGCAATTTAGTAGACAAGTTTGCCAGGTAAGGAGTGAGTGAGCGGGGAGGATTCCTGCGGGCCATGTGAGCTGTGCAGCCTTGTGTTTCTGCACAGCTTGGATTAATTGCTTTGGGGGGTGCTCTGGGCGTGAGATTTCTCTGTGGCCCACCAAAATTTTCTCACGTCCCACCAGTGGGCCGCGGGCCACTGGTTGGTAACCGCTGCTGTAGAAAACATAACGTTGCACTGATAATAATTCAGTTTTGTTCCCAGACTACTTGCCAGAAGTTATTACTGCAAAATAGATGGTACAAGAGAGATATTTTTATGGATATACAACATGGACATTCACAATCAGCTTGAGGATTCTGAAGCTGTGTTTACAATATAGACACTTCTATTATTTTCATTAGCATTCTTTTTCATTAGATTTAGTAGACCTTGTGTATGTATTTATTATAATATGATGGGTTAGGTCTGAGAAAACTGGAGATCACTTCACATAGGACATTTTGCTCTTTTTGAGGAGGATGGGTGGTTCAGAAATGTGAAAAATAAACTAAAAATAATTCAGTTGGCATCGCCAACAAGAAGGGTATTTTAATTCCTTGGGGTGGGATATCAGTTACTGACATGGACTATATGGATCGTCTATTTCAAAATGCAGTGAGTTAATTCTATAGAGTTTAGATATTACCCCCAGTGATTATACTAAAATCTGTTTTTGTTCCTGGTACTTTTTAAAGTCAATTCAAAATGTGGGTTTAAATCCATAACTTTAAAAGATTGTAACCAAAATATTTCTGATTACAAAGAACTATATGATAGAAATTATATATAAGTCTCACCAACTTCCAAAATGATCTGGATAAAGATGACTACATCATTGCAGGATCTCAAAAGTACCTCAGACCACAAATATAGATAAAGCCCAACTGGATCATGGAGTTATCTTAGCTAGGCAGCCTTTCAAATATGACACACTCTAAAGCAGGAGTCCCCAACCACCGGTCCGGGGACTGGTACCGGTCCGTGGAACAATTTCTACTGGGCCGCCGGTTTGCTGGGCGCTGCCATCTTGTTTTGATGAAAAAGTGCTTCCGGTGAGCTTTTCCGGGTAGAAAGCGGCGTTTGGGTGCTGAAAGAATCCTCGCGCCTTAGTTTCATCGGGGGGGGGGGGCGGCTTCGAACAAAACTAAGGCGCGAGGATTCTTTCAGCATGCATGGCAAGGCGAGCCGAGTGACCGTCCCGAAGCCGTCGCGAAGCCCATCGACACAGGTACAAAGGAGGAGTTGAAGGTGGCGGGGAGAAGCGGGGGACGACTGGCTGGCCAGTCGCTCAGCTCGCCTTGCCATGCGGGCTGATGCTGGTACTGGGCCGCGGATGATTTTGTGATGCCGGTACCGGGCCGCGGCACAAAAAAGGTTGGGGACCACTGCTCTAAAGAACATTGATGGGATTTTTATTCCAGCTTTTACTATTTGGAAAGAAGATGGAACAGGCATGTACATAGGTTACCTGGTTCCATTTTTGTTATTATTTATAGTTTTACGTAAGTAAGCATTAACTCCTTTATCAGTCAAAATGAAACAAATGTTCCATTTGGTATTATTAAACCTCCCATGTGGGCATTTGTATTGAATTGAATACTTCATTTGACCAAGTGTGATTATACACACAACAAATTTGTCTCTGGTACAAAAAACTTTAGATAAAACCCTGTATTTCTGTTAATATGACATTTTTTTCTGTGTTACTGTCTCCTGGCTTTTTGGGGGGAAAGTATGCCGGAATTGATATTTTAGTAATTCTAGTGTCAATTTTGTTGTGATTGCTCTATAGTCTGCTTTTATGATATCTGAAGAAAATGTTAATTTAAAAATTGCTGAGGCAGATCTCTGGCTAATAAATACATGAAAGTGTAATTAATACAAAGAGCAATTAGAAAATAAAATATTGTTCTTTTTAACTATGTGTGAAGGTCAGCAGCTGCTGCAGTATAGTTAATGAGCATTAATAAGCTTTGTGGTTTGGCAAAGGCACTCTTGTATTCATACTCTGCACCATACCATCAAAAATATTATGTATCTACAATTATATAGTTAAATTTGAGTTCACCAAATAACTGATGTTATTCTTGATGTTTTTATATCTGCTTGTTGCATCAATATATTCATTAAGATGATTGGCACAAGTTTATCCTGGTATAGTAAGTTACTTGTCCTAAAGCATTGTACTTTGTTTATATTTATGAACTGCTTTCAGAATATTTTATGTAGATTCAACTATTGAAATTAATGGCAAATATTCAAAGTATTTTTAAAGCATGCTGTGAGATCGACTTTCACCCTTACTTATTTCAGAGTTGAATATTATGGTATTAGCATTGAAAACATTTTGATATATCAGCTATACTTTTTTCCTTATAAAGAAACCAACACCCTACTAAAATGGTCTTCCTTTTAATAGAATACATTGGAAGTCAAGTTCTTCAGACCTTAGTAGTTCTTCTACATAAGGTGCAAGATTTAGGTGGCTAGACAATAGTTATCCTAAAACTGGGCTGTCAAACTCCCTTGCCTGTCGGGCGGATGCATCACATGCTGGCTACGCCCATGCCCGGTTTAGCAAAGAGGGGAAAAGTCCCAATATGTCATGTGATGCCACCGTGACTACATGAGTTTGACAACCCTGCCCTAGAGTCTTGGACAAAGACATTTATTTGTTTGACCCTGATTATTCATGCCAATCAAAGAGGATGAAGAAACATTTTAAGGGCATAAAGAACATTGAAGGTCCTATTGCTAAAATCTCAGGTTTTGCATTAGAATAGGATCATGAAAATCTTTAAGGCCAAGAAACACTTTGACCATTGGGTAAATAAATTAGCTATGAATAGCCCAAAGAGATGGTTAAGTATGTTAAAGTTAGTTGTTTGCTAATAACATTTTGAATATTTCAATTTTAGGTTCTGTTAACTGGAAGAGAAGGTTGTCTTCGTCCCCATATAATTTTCCTCAGTAGCAGAGTGCAGGTTCACCTGGAACTTTAACTCAGAAGCGGTCAATTGTGGTCCCTTAACTTTTGTTTTATGTATCTTAAATGGCTAGGTTGAGCAAAGGATTGAAGTTCACAGAAATTCCTATTCAACATAGGGACGTTACACTTCTTAGTACTTAGTACTTCTTAGGTTCTTCTAGAAAAGGAGGCCCATTTGAGTGCATTTTGCCCAGAGACTCCCGAAACCTGGGACCAGTCTGAAAAGCTCTAGATTAAGGATACTACAAAACGAAATAACAGCACCGGCTGGCCACCAACAATATATGAGCTTCTAGAAGGCTTTGGTGTAATCCTAAAATGGCCCTGAAGTGATTAGGGTTAATTTTAACAATAGGAAGAGGAAAGGATCAAATAATTACCCTGTTTCTCCAACAATACGGCCTCCCACAATAGGAAGTCTCAGCATGTTTTATAGGCATGAAATGAAATTAAGCCCCTCCCCCCAAATTAAGGCCTATATTAAAACATGCGAAATGGGGGGAATGGTGGGGGGGCTTCCCATTAGGAAGTATTTTTGTTGCACACCCGGATATGGTGCTGCCTGCGTTGACCCCAATATGAAGTGCCCCACCAACGCCGAGGTCAACATCCAAGCCGTCGCCGCCCGCCTGAAGATGCAAGGGGGT